GCAGTTGTAACCAAACACTATAAACCAGTTGTAACAAAGCACTGAAAAAGTTGAGTGAAATGGCAATTGTAACTACAAAAATTTGAAAAATTTACCTGAAAAGGCACTATTAACAAAACACTGAAAAATGGCTGAAAAGGCAATTGTAATCAAAGAAGGAAAACATGGCTTAAAAGGCAGATGTAAACCAAACACTGAACAATGTCTGAAAAGGCAGTTGTAACCAAACACTGAACAATGTCTGAAAAGGCAGTTGTAACCAAACACTGAACAATGTCTGAAAAGGCAGTTGTAACCAAACACTGAACAATGTCTGAAAAGGCAGATGTAAACCAAACACTGAACAATGTCTGAAAAGGCAGTTGTAACCAAACAATGAGAAAGTTGTCTGAAAAGGCACTTATAACCAAACGCTAAAAAAAGTTGACTGAAATTGCATTTATATCCAGACACTGAAAAGTTGACTGAAAAACTGCATTTATAACTAGACACTGAAAAATTGACTGAAAATGCTTTTATAACCCAACATTGAACATGATGCCAAGACCACGAGTAGGGGTGGGCATGTAACAAAAACCCTTTTCATTCCTTCTTTATTCTGATATGTAACAGTTTGTCGTGTTTTTTCTTTGTTAAGGATGGAGATATTTATTGTATATATATTGTGACATAAAAATGATTGAAAGATCAACGTTTCCTATTGACCTGGTTGGTGCACTTTAGATTGGACTATGGGCCTTTATCGCACCGCCGGTAAATTATCACGTTGTGATTGGTTTAACACCGTCACGTGGTGACCCCCTATGGATCCGTAGGGGGTTAGTAAATTTCATAGGGGGTTCATGACGTCACGTCTACTGTTAATAGTGACGTCATCTATTAATGTTGTTGTGTTTAATTGTTTATTTCTCTACAAAACACAGCGGAAAAAAGTCTCGCGGGCGATAAATTCGTTATACGGTTAACTACTGACCCCCTACGGACCATAGAGGGTGAATAAAAACCATAGGAGATTCGGCCTTCGGCCTCACCCCCTATGGATTTTACTAACCCTCTATGGATCCGTAGGGGGTCAGTAGCGAACCATATAACTTATATTAGCTTAAAACGTGCAATGAAACTTGTACTTTACAAATCAACTTTTGTCATGCCTTCAGATACTATTTTGTCATGCCTTCAGATACTATTTTTGTTTTATTGTTGCATAATAATGAGATACAGGTTTAAATTTGCTGAATATCTTACCTACTTGGATGAAATTACTACCTTTGAGCTGAGATATTGTTTGTGTCGTCTCATTTGGTTGTGGTCTGCAGGTTTTAGCCCTAATTTTTGCACAAAGTTGATGAATAAAGAAATAATTAAGAAACTGAAGTTCGACTTCTTCAGGCCAAGGTGTCCTTGGATAAATTTGGATATACTTTTTAGGACCGTTTTGGTTTTAAAGTTCCTTACTCTTTAAAGTATTTATACTTCCATGTCTTTCACATGTTTTAGTGTTCCCGGTGAAGGTAAATCCAGAAAAGAACTTATTACACACAGAAATTATAAAGCGTTATTCCTGTTTATTACCTAGTTGTGTAATAGTGTGTACTTCTGAAGGTTGACCTACTTATGACTGAATTATGGCCCTAGTTCACTTGTGTTATTTCTTTGGAAAGTGGTTTATGTTACCACAACTATATTATTTTTTGCATCTGTGAAGCTGATTGATATAGAATTCATTCTTTTAAGGTCTTCAGTGTAAACTCGCTGCACCTCAAGCTTACTTGAGATTACTAACATTAATTTCCATTATCTTTATAAATAAATTTGCTTATAAAGGCAAATGATTAAATAGTCTAGGGACCATTGCAGGAAAGGCTTGAAGGAACCCCACCATGACACTTCACTGAATCCTTTTATTAGAAAGATTGTGTATGTTTGCGGGGTTTTTTTTGGGGGGTGGGGGAATTCAGTCTGCTGATGGGAACTATATGTTTGCACTCTGTCAACCTGTCTGTTAACTAAGTTTTCCTGACATTTTTATGCCCCATTTAGGGGCATTATGTTTTTTAGTCTGCGTCCGTCCGTTCATCTGTCCGTTTGTCTGTCCCGCTTCAGGTTAAAGTTTTTGGTCAAGGTAGTTTTTGAGGAAGTTGAAGTCTAATCAACTTGAAACTTAGTACACATGTTCCCTATGATATGATCTTTCTAATTGTAATGCCAAGTTAGAGTTTTGACCCCAATTTCACGGTCCACTGAACATAGAAAATGATAGTGAGAGTGGGGCATCCGTGTACTATGGACACATTATTGTTCTTTGATGATTCAATCTAATGATTATTTATTTGATTTATAGTTATATCATGAGATGTAACAAATAAAGATTGAGCTTCACTCCTGTTGAGCCATTTTTGTGCAAGTTGTGGCCCTTGGACATAAAAATTGCTTGAAAAATATCAGTTTTCCACACTTTTTTCTACTGACTTAACCAATTGCTTAGATATTTAGTATAAAGTAATAAGCAACTCTTGAGTTTGATTCAGTATTATGAGGGATTTTGTGGAAATTGTGGCCCTAGGACATAGAAAATTGTTGAAAATATCAGTTTTCCACATTTTCCTTAATGTAAATCAGTAAGTAAGGTATTCACTATAAAGCAATATCATAAGAGGCTACACATTCAGCTTGTTCTTGTTGAATGATTTTTGTTTGAGTTGTAGCCTAAGGATATACAATTTGCTGGAAAATATGTTTTAGAAAGTTGAAAAAAATCTTGATTCTTTAGTTAATGGATAGTAATTTTTGGAAAAAAAATTGCATCTTTAAATAAATATTCGCTGTTCTGATAAATGATAGGAGTGTATTTCCAATTAAATAAGTAACAACTCTTTCCTAGCTGGATTAAAAATTCACCAGACCTCCCTGATAATCAAATACTTGTCCCATACAAGTGTAATTTCATCCAATTTTCCTGCAGGTGGGGGACATTGTAACCTCAGAATCCTTGTTCAGTGTAGGTTAATGGTGATGTTCAGAGTCCAGATTTAAATTGTAGCATTTTGAAGGTTACCAATACCTAAATATCTCAAGTTATTCACTTATCCTTCTAATAAGACTGTCTACCTATTAATTATCTGAATATATTAGTGATGTGAATCTTCTATATGCTTTTGACAATACAAATTAATGCATGCTATATGAGATTTTTGTGCCAATTTCCTTTTGTCTGAAGTGTCAGTTATGTAAACAATTAATTAGCTTCATGTATGACCTTGTCAAAGCCACTTATCATATGATATCTGGTAGAGTACATCTGTATGGATAAGTAGAACATGTCAAAATCACTCTGAGTAGTAACCCAAAATAGACCGGAATGGGAAATCCCCTCAGGATTTTTGCTATTGGGAACATTTCTGAAAATTAAGATTTCAAATCTTGTAAGAGTGAACAATTTTGATTTTACTCGAGGAGAGGATTAAACTTTTCGTACAAATTCTTTTTTTGAAAAGGACAACTGTGACTAGGCTATACCCCCACAACTTGTCCATCGGTACATTCAGAATTTTCCCAAATTTTACTTTTCTATGTCCATTATATTTCAGCAGTATAACCCTTTTTGATAGTGCAATGCTGCTCAGAATTATTTGGTGCTCATGAATATTTGATTCAGTTTGATCTTAATTTCACTCAGGAATGACATTGGTTTAGTTATGCGTTTTTAACAAACTTATTGTAATATACATTGAACTTATAATATTACACTATTAAAATCATCTTATATTATATAAGACTTTTAAGTAATATTAAGGTCTTCGTAATTCATAACTCATATTTTTCTCATAGATAGGCACAAAATTAAATATTTTTGAGGGAACTGTCCTTCGTTACTGGACAAAGAAGTTATTCAAGCCTTTATACAAAATTTTCTGAGGTGTCGAAATTCCAAACAAACCAAAAATTAAAAAAAAAAATTCTTTTTAATTATTAGAGGCTTCTGCAGGACCCTCTAGTTTGGTGCCTCTCGAACACCTCTCGTTCATTTATAAAAATGATTTCTGGAACTACCCTTAGTTGTTATTTTATTTAATACTTTTGTAAGTTAAATTTTTCTGTGTGGGTAGAATGGATTTGTGGCAGATAAATAACTGTTATCATTTTATAGAGTAAATATAGAAGGGAACTCTCTCTATATGGAAAATCTATATGGAAAATTTAAGTCTTCACACAACCTTTTGTCAAGATAACAAACAAATATATAGAAATCTACACTTTTTTGTTATAGTAACAGTATAAAAAAATATGGAAACTTTGAAACTTGAAAATGATAATTCTATTTTAGAAATCATACAAAAAATATGATAGCCTTGGCCTAACTTCGGCAATAAAAATTCAAGGTCGGATAAGAATAAGGACAGTTGAGTGAAATTGAATAATAAGACTGTTAAAATGTTTCTTAGTTCAAAAAGAATATTGACAAAATAATTTCATGAAAAGTTTCAATTATATGCATCATCTACAGATAAAAGAAGGGATTTCATTTTTCAACTTTCAAAATTTCTGTCTTGTTCCTATTTTTTTCAAAGTTGAAAATAAATTTAAAAAAAAGTCCATATAATTAAAAAGTTTTGTAATATTTTATGATACTTTTCTATGTGTTAAATGGGTGTAAAGATTGCTATTATTTCAAATATAATTTTAACAAACAAACAAAAAGTATCTGGTAGCAGTGTATAAGAAATATGTTTAAAAGTGTTACTTGGAAACAAATTATTACATATACACACACACATAGTCATACAATTTGATCTTTCTGAGCACAGGTTTTCATTGAAAACATTAAAGGAAATATACACTACTCTTGAATTTGAAACTACCTCTGTGCATTTTGAAGAAAGTACAAAAACTGAACTGTGCATTCTAAAGTAAGCTTAAGACTTACACTTATTGAAAATCACTTTTGAAAATATATATATTTATATATATATGAATTGAAATAAACACACAAACTAATAAAGTAAACAAAAAATTTGACTTTTAATACATGTGATCTGAAAACATACTGGTATTCCAGAAATTTCCTTTTGGAATAACTAATTCTTGTAATCCACTGAAAAGTGAAAAATTCCAATCTGTAAAATCTTTTTAAATTAATATAACAAACACACTTAAAAATTATTTTCCAAATATATATGTGGAATCACAATAAATCCAACAAATGAATAATTCACTTTTTAATTTTTCGCGCCAAAATAATTCCCGCCAAAAAGTGAGCGACGAAAATTTTCCCTTGGATATGAACTCTTTTATCAAGGAGGTCAGTAAGCTCAAAAAGAGATTGTTGTACATGATGTCTCTGGTAGAGTGTGTAGGCATAGAATGTTTGTAAGGTTCGATATAATCCACTGCATGGTACATAACAATCAGGTTTTGTTAATCTCGCACTTTAATTTTAGTGTTTGACTATTTTTTATCTACAACATGGTGTCATATTGACGATGCATTTGTTTTTATATAAATGAGCCAATGAAGGAATTTATTGTGAATGGGTGTGCCGCCTCATTTTTAACTTCCAATGGAAACCATGGATTTAAAATCCTTTATTTCTTGTGCAGTCTGACCTAAGACTTGTTCTGGCGGGACATGTGTATGTGCACCAGTGTGTATTACAGTGACGAGACACTTTATGCATCACCTTTATATCTTTTAAATGTGTCAATTTTTGAGGCCAGTTAAAGGGTAGGCATTTTTTTTATCTATTATTTTCTTTATTGTCTAGATGTTGTTTCTGTATGTTTTTATTTTAAATAATACTGATCGATGATTCTAACATCCGTTTTAATTTATATATAGCATTTATTTGTACAATGTGTGTTCTGTCAAGTATGAAACAGGTAAAGTTCCTTGCTACTTTACATATAAACCAGACACAGACTAATCTATGACATCATACACTAACTCTTGTTAGCACGCCCTACATTATTTGACTGGTGCTGTGTTTTACAAGCTGGTAAGAGTCGTTTCCCCTTTAGGATTGCAACCTGCAAAAGGTGAAAAAACATTTAGTGCATGTTAATATATCTGTCTTAGTACAATAAGTTTGTTCATAAGTAAGCTTACGTAAATTCTGCATCTGTTGTTAAAACTTATTTTAACAAGAGTTACTGAAATTTAATCTTATTTTCAATCACAGAAGCATTGCAGATTCATTGTGGTTTTGTTTAAAAACTAAAAAAAATAGAAAGAAATATGCATGTAGGTTAAAACTTGATATAATCAACATCATTGTACACCATTTTGTCTTTTTGAGTATCTTTAAGAGTTAGCAAAGTCATTTTAATATGCTAAAAAAGAACCAATGAAAAAATTTAAAATGGCAGGACAGACATTATGAGAAAAAAAGAAAGCAATATGGCGGATAAACTGTGTGAACGTGTGTAGCTTGGTGAAACCTGACTGTGTTATTTCCTGATGTTAACAGTTTACTAACAAATATTTAGTTAAATGTAATTTTAAAATAAAGTTTAAACGCAAAATTTAAATTTCTTTAGAATATGACAAAAGCGCATGCGCATTATGCATCTTGTTCAACTGAATATGCACCGTGTGCATCACAAATTTGGGTATATATTTCAAGGAGAAAATAGCTACTGTGTCACGACACAGCCCAATAATATTGGCGCAAAAACAGTGGGCGGGAACGTACTGTAGATTTTTTTGAAGGTCTACTTGATGACCAAGGAACTCAGATATCTCATTGTGACGAGATATTTTTCATTTCATTTGTTCAAGGATCCAGTGTCATAATTAAAACATTTTTTAGGCAAGTGCTATGCCAAGCAATGTAAACTGAATAACTAATTGGAACATGCACCTCAAACCGTGTGAAAATCTGTAAATGTCTCGAATGGAAATGCACTGTCATCTGCATTTGATTGCACATATTGAATGCACATTGGTGAGCACTGGAGTGTATCATTTGTGTGTATGCACAGCGATAGGTAAATATTCTACATGTTTTATAACTATATTTAAACCAGACAGACAAAACATGCCTTTGAATCGACCAGATAAAGACAGTTCAGACATTATTTTAAAATACGTCACTAAGTATGTCTAGAGTAGTCAGCATATTTAAACACATTGTGACTGTTTTAAAACATAACAGTGTAACCAAGCTCAGTATATATTATGCATTGAATTTTAAAAACTTTTTGTTTGATTGATATCCAATCCGACTTTGCCCCAATTACAATGATCTTGGTTTTTTTTATATCATCTTCGAAACTTGTCGATTTTGAGGATACTTGTGCTATCTTTTTTCTGTTTTGTTTTTTTGTACAATTTTTTTTTCTTGTTGTTTTTAGGAAATTGTATGGTAAAAAAGATGTTGATTGTTGCAGTATTTTCCCGCCAAAGGTCACATTCATTCTGGCGGTAGTCACCAATGGTCGCCATCTTGGTTGTCTGGGGAAGTGCGAGTTGGCCATGTCATCTGTTGTTGTAAGCTGGTGTACTGAAATGGATTAAGGAACTTCTTTATGAATAGAAAGTAAGGAAAATTATTGTAAATATTCTTTTTTAGTATTTTTTTGTTTAGTCGAAAGACAAAAGAAGATGTGATAGATACAGAAACTGCAATGGCGGACAATTTTGTCTCGATCTCGTATTGTACGCCTTACTGTTTAAACTTTGAATTAATAAGTGAATTCAAACTGGAAATTTTCAAGAAAGTATTGTTAAATCTTGATATAGTAATTTATTGTATACTTTACGTCTTATATATTTTTAAAATTTAAAAAACAAAAAAAATTTGAAAAAAATTCAGGTCATAAAAGGTGATGCGCATGCACTGTTCATAGCGTCATTGAATTAATTTACTTGCACACAGTTTTTTTTTTTTCATTTTCAAATTTGTGCATTCCGCTACACTAAAGGAAGACATTTGTGTTTTAAGTACGCATGCGCCCATTTCAAAGACACGTTTTCCAGACATGGCTAAATATCTAGTGTCTCGATTGTGTGACTGCTTGGACCTTCTTAATAATGTTGACACAGACATACTTAACAGGTGTTATGGATAATTTTTACATGCATTATAAAAGATGTAAGTTTGTTTATTAATTTTTTTAGCTAGAAAGATTCACATTTTAGAAATGCTTAGTGTTGGGGTGGACATATTCGCTTACAGAGGTGACGCGTCTGCGCATTGCATCTGATTTATCTTTGAACTTAGGAGTAGGTGTCCATAGTTATAGGATGTTCTTTTAGATTTAAACTTTTTATTTCTTCAGTTTTCCGTTTAAAGAATTTTGCAGTTTTGAATCTTTGTTAACTGAAAAACTTCTTAGTTCTTCTTTCTATGCCGACGTATGCACGCTTGCGCACTGCTGCAAAAGTCTAACAATTTCTTGATAGCGTCATCTTAAAACATCTTAAAGCCTGTCTGGGATGTTGTTTGGGGAACACCTATAGCTGACCACGGACACGGTATGTACATGCAGGTATTTTGCGTTGATATCATTTAATTAATGGAACTATGCGGCCGCATACTTTCAAGGAATTTATTTCGTTTGGAAATTAAAAAAATTAGTCGAAATAAACGAAGAGATATTTTTCAGGATCATCCGGCCATATTTTTAGTTTTCGGTTAATTTATGTTCAAATTTTTTATCGCAAGACTATGTGATTTCGTTTAGATTGCAATTGTCTTAAACTATTACTGGTTTTACTTGAATCAGACAGACTGGTGAACGCTTCTGTCTGTAGATTTTCATCATGAGTTTAACTTCTGTTGTTCCTTATTTTAATACAAAATCTATTCTAAATTTTATATGAAGAAGTATTATCTTTAAAACCTAGGTTTCATTTCGATTTTCAAAAAAATTCAGTTCAACTTTTTAATGTCTGGGAATTTTAATCATGTCGCGATGCATTATGGGTCATCTGCACTTGCGCACTTGTCCGGGCATACAAGAAAGTCGTGACATGAACTATGATGTTGTAAGATGCATTTTGGGGAACACTATGGATCAGCATGGATTTCACGCAAGCGCAGAAAATAAAATGTAGTCTTGGCCGCCGACAAATTTCTAATTAATAGTTTTGGGAGAATAGAAGTTCTTTGCATTCTACGCTGGACTAATTGTTTATAACTGTCTTACTTTCAATTAACCAACTCAGCTTTTTTATTTCAGGATTATGTAGAAAGTCTTTGTCTGCAGTGAAATTATCGAAGTCCAGCAAAAACCAAGAATTTTTTCTGTTTGGAAGTGGAAACAGGTAATTTACATTATGGATTAAGAAAATCTTACGAATCTTGGTAATTTACTTGAAAAAAGATGCATTTTGGGGACGCTACTGGATCAGCATGGATTTCACGCAAGCGCAGAAAGTAAAATGTTAGTCTTGGCCGCCGACAAATCTCTAATTAATAGTTTTTGGGAGAATAGAAGTTCTTTGCATCCTACGCTGGACTAATTGTTTATAACTGTCTTACTTTCAATTAACCAACTCAGCTTTTTTATTTCAGGATTATGTAGAAAGTCTTTGTCTGCAGTGAAATTATCGAAGTCCAGCAAAAACCAAGAATTTTTTCTGTTTGGAAGTGGAAACAGGTAATTTACATTATGGATTAAGAAAATTTTACGAATCTTGGTAATTTACTTGAAAAAAGATGCATTTTGGGGACGCTACTGGATCAGCATGGATTTCACGCAAGCGCAGAAAGTAAAATGTTAGTCTTGGCCGCCGACAAATCTCTAATTAATAGTTTTTGGGAGAATAGAAGTTCTTTGCATTCTACGCTGGACTAATTGTTTATAACTGTCTTACTTTCAATTAACCAACTCAGCTTTTTATTTCAGGATTATGTAGAAAGTCTTTGTCTGCAGTGAAATTATCGAAGTCCAGCAAAAACCAAGAATTTTTTCTGTTTGGAAGTGGAAACAGGTAATTTACATTATGGATTAAGAAAATCTTACGAATCTTGGTAAATTACTTGAAAAATGTGAAATGCAGAAAAAAACCGTTGCATTTTATAAAACAAAGAATGTATAGCTAAACTTACTGACAAGAGTTGCTTTCTTTACAATTACTCTACCGATTTCAGCAATGTTACATAAAATCTGGCAGAATCACAATCCTATCCAATACCAGTTGATACCATTTGGCATTCTGAAATAAACAGGATAAATGTTCATGTTCTTCTATTATGTTTCCATCTTTCATTTCTTGAAAGTTTGACTTGACAACAAATTTTTGAAATCTTTGCATTTAAATACTTACAAAGCAAGGTGAGACAATCTTGATTAGTTATGTCCCTTGATTTAGAGAACGATGCTGATCTTCAAATTTTTTTAAAGGTGAACATCTGACAATTTTTTTACAATTTTTTAACTCCGATATAAGTAGCATTAAGAAATTACTCTCCTTTGATAAGAACATGATATATTAATTGATAACGGTCATCATTTTTATCTTAAGGAAATCAAACTACAGAAAAGTGAAGAAATGCCAAATAAAAATAAACCAATGAAATAACACCTTAACACTATATGTTCTATAAAACACTAAAACCTTTTAAAACAAACAACCTTGGAACCGTTGGTTTGGTTAAGTCTAGACAGATGTTTGGTAGACCAAGGTAAAAAAAAAAAACTATACTGTTTTGTCCCGATACAAGAGGACATCATACACAGGGTTTCTGTTCAAGAAACATTTCTGTTAAGACAGGTTTTAGTGTTATATATTTATATCAGACGGGAGTTTAAACCTTGTCTCTGTCAGTCAGTCAAATACAATTTTCTTCACATTTTCTCAGATACTTACTGAAAAATTGATCTTTAGCTTCATGAAAGCATGCTAAAACTGTGATGCATTTTCACATCTGTTTCATCAACTACCTGTTCACAGAAAAATAATTATAGAAGGGTACCATTAGTAAGATATAGTCCACAGTCCATATATTTTATCAACTGTAACTATATATTTTCACTTTTGTAGATGTCAAGAATGGAATAAGGTTCAAAGAAGGACAACCCAAGGTAGTATGAACATAATTAGTGTTTATAGAAATATGATGGTTGATAAAAAGTTGAAGGGACCTAAATTTAAAAGGGGATTATTCAATCTAAAAACTATAGGACCATGCTATATGTTACAGCATAAGTAAACCAAGGTCTGTCATTAATACCAAATTCTGTAAAAGACTAAGCACATAGCTAAATAGGAATAAAGTTCCTGACTTAAGACGGGATATTTGCATGTGATAATATTTTGATTCCTGAACTTTCATCTTTCACACCATATTAGTTTCTGAATTCATGTATTCTGGAAAAATAGATATATGAAACCTTTAAAAAGGGTTTCAAATGGTTTGTAATCATGTTTAAGCATTGTCCTAACTTAATCAGGTTTCAAAGCCAGGTTTTAATTTCCTATTTCCATTTTTACCTTAACATTTTACTACTGTAAATTCGGAAATATTACGAAAAAATGCTACAGGGTTGTAATCGCAATAATTCAAACTTGCATTTTGGATTTTTTTATATGAATGATGTGGGATTTTACTCATTATCGCAAAAATAATAATCACATTTTGGTCTAAAATGACGAAATCGCAATAATAAATGCATGTAATAATTTCTTAATTTACAGTATATTACTTAAACATGTTAAAGATAAAAAAAAAAACGAACACATTATTCTAAAGGAGATTCTGAAAGTAATTTTACTTTGATTTTTTCTTTCTGCCTTATATAAAGGTACAATTTAAACAGGTATTTACTCTTTTTCTTAGAAAAATATTAAGCAAAACTAAATATTTATCTTGGTACATAAGGTTTTTTGCAACAATTTTGCTGACATTTCTTTTGTTGTAGTATTATGAGTGAATAACAAGCCAATTAACCAGATAGTAATGAAATTCTGGTCCAAGAAATAAAACATTACTGAGTTTGGCCATGTTTGCATTTTACAGTTACAGTAAAGAAAATTTGAAATCATGAAAAAGCAACAATCATACACATAAAAAGATCACACAAATATGTCTATTCTTGCTTAATAATTGCTATTTCAGAATCTTGTACAATCAGGTTAATATGTCCAAAAGTGTACACCTATACTGTCCATTTTCTCTGAACCAGTAGACATTTTTGTTTAGGGGCCAGCTAAAGCCGCCTCCTGGTGCGTGATTTCCTGCTGTGTTGAAGACCCATTGGTGGCTTTGGGCTGTTCTCAATTATACCTATAAATTGTGATTTGGTTACAACCTCCTGTACCATGAATATTAAACCAAAATCATTTGAACTATGGAGTAAGATTAAAGAAATGACTAACAACTATAAATTCTGAAATAGTGAATTAAACGAGTAAAATGTTGTTCCTGATTTTTTTCAGAGGCTGAATAAAGCTTTCAGATGAAGAGGATTTACAGATAATAAAGCTTTCAGATGAAGAGGATTTACAGAAGGGGAAAGATTGTGTTAAGATTGAGCACACAGAAGATAAATGTAAGAAAGAAGTACACAATAATGGTTACCATATGTATTGACCTCTCTGTTTAGGTCACTTAACATGGTCTCATTACAATCGATAGCAAATCTCATTATTTTATATAGGGTACACCCTGGTTCTATCATTATTTGTCCAATTATAATTAGAGCTGTGCCTAATAATTTTAAGGAAAAAGACAAAAAAAAATGTAAATTGGTTTCTGTCTCAACTAAAAACTTTTTCTTTTCTTACTTGTAAAAATACAAAAGAAAGTGTTAAAGTTTTAATGACATGAATTTTGTGTTGCTTTGTTTTGATCCAATGAATTTTGGCATATTGGAGGAAAGGCAAGAGATGATTATTTAATCTGAATGGAGAAAATGAGGATAATAATAATGTATTCTTGACCTAAATCTAACCCTTGACCATAGTCTTGTCCTCAATATTTATAGTAAATCATAAGTTTAACCCTTATCCTAACAAGTTTAACCCTAAACCTGACTTAAGCCTAAACTTACTATAATACAATTCTTGCCCTACATATCGGTATTCTTACAGCATAGGGATTCCCAATTTAAGACAAACAAGTTATTAATTATGACAGAATCCTTTGAACTGATAGTTTTAACCTTTAAGACTAGATGACATTTTCCTAGAAATGAGTAGTCGCTTTTTGTACCAAAGAAAATGGACTTAGAATTTCATTAAATTTTTCAATAATTAAAGCCAAAAATAAGTAACGAGTAATGTTGAAACTTTTATTTATCCACTTTGACTAATACATTTTGTTATGATATAGTTCATCCTAAATTATAAAATTCTGCATTTTGAGATATGATGGAAGATTTTGTCACTGAAATTGCCTTTAATTTTATATTGAATACTGTGGACTTTCGTGGATACCAGTTCATGGATTGAAGGAAATTTTTTTTTTATTATATATTTAATTTCATGGTTTTTCATACACACTGTAGAAAATTTGTACTCTGTTAAACATTTAAATTGGGGTTAACCTATAACAAAAAATCCATCTAAACTGGTATCCCATGAATGGTAAATTATCATCTAAACTGGTATCCCATGAATGGTAAATTATCATCTAAACTGGTATCCCATGAATAGTAAATTATCAACTAAACTGGTATCCCATGAATGGTAAATTATCATCTAAACTGGTATCCCATGAATAGTAAATTATCAACTAAACTGGTATCCCATGAATGGTAAATTATCATCTAAACTGGTATCCCATGAATGGTAAATTATTTACAGCAACAAAATGAATAGAAGAATAGCTTATAGCTTTAATAATATGTAGGATGTAACAACTTTTTATCAAATACAACTGCAATGATAGCTTAATGATTACTGGACCTTAAATGACCAAAAATAAATCTATTGTTCCACATCACTTTTAAGCTTTAGTACAGCCAATTGTTCTAGGGGGTATTTAGGTACAGAATCCAAAATATCATCCCTGGGTTCTAGGTCATAAAACTTTATTCCGTACTCGAAGTACAAAATTTGTGCTCGAAACACCAAACCAGGATTTTGATTGGTTGATTTCTGAGCGTGCTCAAAATTTTTATGACCGCAAGGCCTGGTCCATCTAGTTGTGTAGGACGGGAGCCAGTAAAAGGATAACATCACTTGAAAATGAATAACATACCTACTTATAATCACATCTTTTTAATATCATGTTTATAATTAAGGTAAAATATCACTTTTTACTACTTTTTTTAAGTGGTTATATTATTAAGGAGTGGGTATATTTTTGACTGTGCATGACACAGATTTGAAACTTTAATCCTTTTTTTTTGACTTTATATGCATATATTTTATATGCATAGTAACCTCAGTCACAACATTTAAAAAAGAAAGAAACAAACTGAGAGACCCCAAAATGTCATTTTATTATAATTTGGAGGGATATAACAAAAAACACAACTGTAGCTCAAAATGTACATTTTCATCAAATCTTCTTATTACATTCAAATTCATTATATTAAATGTGAAAATGGGCTCTACAGATTTTTTTTGCAAATTTACAAGGCTGATTACATGCAAAAAAAAGTTCTCTTCTTATTTAACAATTTGCAGAAGGGGAAAAAGTATTGCTAAAGGTTCCCTCTGGATTGAATCTGGTTTAGTTTCTGAACACCTCTCTTTTGAGTCTACAACAAGGCCAATTACACAATGTTCATCAAATGTATTTTTCTCTCATTTTTTTTTGACAAACCCATAAAATTATTTTATAAAAAGAAGAAAACGTGTACCCTTACCATTGCTTCTGAAATACACCTTAAACAACAGTACATCTGGAGTTAAATGATTAAGTGTCAAGTTTATGATAAGTATAACAGCTGTGCTTATACAAAAGAAGTCATTTTTTTAAATGTTCAACACACCTGTAACATTGTATTATTCTCTATTTTTCTGTTATAAACATCCTGTTGGTTTTGTTTAAAGAAATGCAGAAATTAAGTGAAAAACAAAAGATCTGCATTAATGTCTTTACAATAAAACTTGCAGATGTGGAAGGATCCTATTGTTTAACATGCATTAAGTACCATCTAAATATAAAGATGTAGTCAAATATTCATCAGTTTAAAAATTAACAGCAGTACTTTTGAATAGAATAATTTTAACAAAGAACAACATATGATAGTGAAAAGTCTTTTATGTCATTTAAAATTGACACAAAATCCCCTAAAAAGTTAAAATGTCACAGCATTAATTCTCAAACCCAACACATATCGTTGGTAGCTAATTTGTTTCATTCATTAAGATATATTCACTTTATGTTAAAGATTTCTTTTGTTTTTGTCCTAGAGGAATGAAGTGGTGCAACAAAAGTCACTCTTAAGAAACTAATTTTGACCAATTGACCTGTTTAAAGTTTCACTTTTAAGTCCAGAGAATATTTCTGTCAATAATTTGTCTGATTGAAATAGTAACCAATTTTCTTTGATAGTATACAATGATTCATTCTGACAAAGCTGTCTCACATATTTTTTTTTCAATGCATATATATCTGTACTAATTTCATAATTGGGTTGACAATATATGTGGAATGTATTCCCAATAGATGCCATAATATATTAACCTATAAAGCTTATTTTCTTAAATGGTTGAGATGGGAACTATTTTCAAAGAGCAGTAATCAAAAAGATGAAAGTACTAGACAGATTACAGTCTGATGAAAAAATTACACGATCAGAATTGCTTTATATCTCATTTTCACTTTCTTTCAAGTTCTTAGACTTAATATTATCAACTGGTCATTAATTTGTAAAGGTAGATTTATACTTCTAAACCAATCTGAGATGAAAAAATACTAAATGACTTCCATTTTGTGACATTGTATAGACTTAATGACATTGGGGAATCTGTGACACTTGACACAAGAGTTTTTAATACTTTGATCCACTGACTCCATACAACATGAGTTGTTGCGAGTTGTTGCATTGTGACGTAAGACTTTTTCTTATTGTGAAATCCAAAAATAACGGGAACATCTGTACTGTCCTGTATTGTTTAATTTTAATATCAATAATAAAAAAAGATCAATTTGGATTTAATTAACTTTGGTAGAAAATATCAGCAGCTGTAAGGAATATTGGTGTATTTTTTAAAATGTTCATATGGTTAGGTAAAATTTATTTATTTACATATGGATTTTCAGACCAGACATTTTTTAAACTTGAAAGGTTAAAATACAAAAATTTCATCTGTATAAATTTTCTAAAATAATGTTATAGCACCATTAGTGTTAACAAACACCTTTAATTTTATACTTCACTTCAATCTGATAATGCAGTAAACAATAATGAAAAAATCAATCCAACCAAACAAAATATAAGAGCTAAACAAATATATTTAAATTAAAGGAACAATTCACTTTTTTGACGATTTCCTTTTGTGCAGAACCTTCAGAACCTCTGGTCTTTCAGTAAACATACAAGATTTGCCTAGCAATATCAAAAGCAGTGATTTTTTTGTACAATTGTTTCGTTGTTCAGTCCACTGTGAATTAAGTTATAAGTAACATGCAGAATATGATGCTTTTAGTTTGTTAAAAATGTTGTCTTATTCTTTTAGCCCCAAGTCATGTAAGTCTTTTCTTGTTTTCTGTTCTGTTAGGTTGCCGTATCCCCCAAATCTCCTTTCATTTAGAAGGAAAATTTTAATACATTTTTATTTTCTGTTGCAATCCTTCAAAAGAATAATGTTAATTACAATTGATGAATTAAATTTAGACACTTCAGTTTTCAATCTTTCTCTGACCAAAAAGTAGCATTTACTGAAACAAAGTATTTTTCACATTCAAAGGGAAATAACTCTTTTTATAATTTGTATCAAGTTCTAACATCAATTTACAGATTTATGCCTTTAAGATGTCAGATTTTCTAAACAAGTAATTCCTTGAATAGGTATTGAAAACCTGTTATCAAATAAAAGAATTGATAAAATATAATTCAAACATTGACAGAGGTGTTCGAAGTGATGTAGAAATTTTAAGTCAAAACGTTTTTTAAAATTAATCATATCAAAAAGGTAAAATTGTTGAATTTGAAATGTGTGTTATAACATCTCTTTTCCTCTAATGATTGATCTTCTTTGAATACAAAACTTATAAAGTCAGCTGACACCAATATTAAACAGATATAAGAAAGGAATTTTTTTTCTGATATATATTTATATATATATCTAGTTATTGACTAGACCATTTAAAATTCAAGATATTGTTGAAAAGAAAACAACATAAGAGGTACAAATGATCAATGGTTGAATGGTTAGATTTAAGTAATAATTAATAATTATAATAAATCCTTACTTTTTCCAGCAAAATTTAAAAAAAAGGAATGTCATAGCTTTTTTGGTGTGTCATGTTTCATTTTTCATTTTTTTTCTCTCTATTATTTCGGAATACATTTTTGACCTTAATAGTTTTGTCAAATACATAAAACATGTAAAAACATAACACAAGAGCAGTAGGTCACTGGATCTAGTTCCAATGTAATATAAAACATGTAAAAACATAACACAAGAGCAGTAGGTCACTGGATCTAGTTCCAATGTAATATAAAACATGTAAAAACATAACACGAGCAGTAGGTCACTGGATCTAGTTCTAATGTAATATAAAACATGTAAAAACATAACACAAGAGCAGTAGGTCACTGGATCTAGTTCTAATGTAATATAAAACATGTAGAAACATAACACAAGAGCAGTAGGTCACTGGATCTAGTTCTAATGTAATATAAAACATGTAAAAACTAAAACAAGAGCAATAGGTCACTGGATCTGGTTCCAATGCAATATAAAACATGTAAAAACTAAAACAAGAGCAATAGGTCACTGGATCTAGTTCCAATGTAATATGAAACATGTAAAAACTAAAACAAGAGCAATAGGTCACAGTTTCTAGTTCCAATGTAATATATCATACTTAGTTACATTGGATATGTTGAGATAATTGTAACAGTTTGAGATAGACACTTTAATAAAACATTCATTCACTCAAAACCAATCTCCTGAGATGTTTAGAAGTTACAGATGCAAATGCCCACCCTATTTGTCATGTTTGCAGATAAGGTCAAGTCTGTGATGCTATGGGGAATCCGAAATAATAAATTAGATCAAATATAATACAAGGGGTACACAATGCCATACATTATCCTGTCTTTCCTCATTCTTTTTTGTTTGGATGAATGCAAATAGAAATTTTGTAATTTTATTTTCCAAAGTAATGAACATAAGACAAATTTATTTATAAACGTATGCAGCAGATTTGTGAATTTTGATTAAAAAAGTTGTTTAATCTTTGTACTCCACCTATAGAGGATTTAAATCTTTATTGTGTTTATAAGCTAATACTTGTGTAGTTTTAATTCGATAAAATCATAGTCATAGGTTACTTTTTAAGCATATTGAATGTAATGGTGTCATTATAGAGTCATCCTTAACCTAAAAATGTTCCTCGTTTTAATTTTGTCCTGATCAGAAAAAAAATATTGCTTTAAGCTAAAGACTCATTTCTGTATAAAAAAAACCTGATTTAAATAAATATCTGATTACAAATTGTAGTAGTGTTACATTAATAAAACCATTGCTACAGTGGATTTTGTGTTTAACAAATAACTCTTGACTTTTAAAGGGGAGGCAACTATTTCTTTCTTAACAAATCAATAGACAATTGTCAGATATAGTTAAAATTGATAAACCTTATACTGGAAACTTTGAACTTTACAGACCAAATTTTCTGTGAATGCTATTGATTTTCTTATCAGACCTGACTAATAAATAAAAAATGTCCTTGTCAGTTAAATACAAATATTTCTTGACTTGTAATTATTTGAAAATTGTAATGATTTTTCTCCTCTGTGACAAGTTGTCATTCAATGCTAGAGTTTCATTTTCACCTCAGGGGATAATATATTGTATTAAAAAAGTAATGTTTGAACTAATACAAGTTGAAAAGGTCTTTTCATGACGTTTCTGTTTTAACATGAATGGTATCCAGAGTAACCAATAGAAGTGATATAAACCTTTTCCATCCAATTTTGTTTTTAAAACTATAGTGTAAAAAACATTCATAAATAATGCACATCCCTGTATATCATGTGCATTTATATTTTTACACAGCTCCTTATTGATATTTGTGAGATACATTATTTTGTGTGTATTTATATTTTAAGCATGTATTTGAAATTATGACATATTTGTAAAAGAATTTGTAAAACAAAAAAATAAACATAACAATAATGCAGTTATTGCAGATTTTAATTCCAATGAATAGCCTTTCGGCTTTTCTCAAATGAATGGCAGATTTACTTATTGAAGATAAAAATAAAATACGTGTAGAAATGGAAAACAGTTGTGTAAAATCAAAACACTATGCACCCCAACAAATAATGTAATGTATCAAATAATAAACAATTGTTGTTAAACATGAAAAACAAATAATGCCTGATTTTGTTGAATATCTATTTTACTTAAGCATGTAGTGTTTACCATGTTTGATTCATAGATAATCTTTTTACAGGTTCTCTGAACACATGTTGTGTCTTCTAAATCTTTGTCAGCCATGTTGAATGATTATTCAACAATAAGGGAGATAACTACAGTTTCCTTAGCTGAAGAAGAATGTAAAAGCCTGAAGGTAAAATTCTATTAAATATCAATACATGACAAGTGTTGAGAGACGAAGCTAAAGTCAAACATGAGAGTAATTATAGCCCTTAAAACAAACTGATCACACTTATTTAATAAATATAATGTCCTAGTTGATGGATGAGCGAGGGAAAATATTGAATTTTTTTTCTGACCCGGCTAGAACAAACACTCTCTGACAAGAATATTATATGTGTAATGACAATAGATAAAGCCTGACTGGTCACAATCAATAATAACGAGAGAAAATCTCGGGATATAGCTTAATTAGTAAAAGTGACTGTAACATAAAAACATTGAATTAGGTCATCAAATCCATAATGTCACTCAACCTAAGGCTTCATATTCCTTGTGCTACTAATTATTTTCCATCCTTTGATTTTTCATATAATTTCTATTTTTAAATAGCCTTCTGTTCCCTAAGAAACTTACTTTTTTAATGACTTAAAAAAAAGAAGATAATAATTTTCCTTTGAAATATTTCCCCTGAATTATATACTGTCTATATATGTATTTTATAAAGAATAAAGTATTGACATAGAACTAATGATTGTCCTTTAACTAGAGATTTAAATATTTGATCTTATGTCAGTTCAATTTTTTTAAAAGTCAAAATGTAAAAATTTTGGTATTTTAAAATGTGTTAATTTCCTATTATTAACACCTGAAATAATGGAATGAAAATATTCATATATAGAAATACAATTCATAGAATAGAAACTTAAAAGAAGAAAAAGATTTTTAACAGATTGTATGCAAAATCAGTCTATTTCATAGGAAGTTTATACAAATGTCTCAACACGAAATATCTGATGTTTTCAGGAGAATGATGTCTCAATCGATACTATTTCTCCATTTGTTTACCTACCTGTGTATTAACACCTACAAGTGATCTTAACTCTTGTTGACATTTCCCTTCTAGGTCTGAAAAATCTAGGATTATCTTATCTTCAATGAGCATATTTGAAAAATATATGAGGTTTCTTGCATGCCTAATGCAGCAAAAAAAAGTATAACTGTGAGTAGAAAGAAGGTGATGTAAAAAAAAAATGGACATTTTATATTAATGAAGGTTAGATGTGGAAAATGCTGATTAAAAATGTTCCCTGTTTGGATTTAAACAGAATTCAGCTTTAGGAGGACATGAAAGATCTATTTCTTCTTGGTTCTGCTGTAAAATAATTAGAATTGATATCTTACTTCGATGATGTTAGAAATGATTAAAACCATTATTTATTTCTACATTTGATAAATATATATTTTACTTTTGAACTGGAATATGACTTTTTCTTTGGAAGTTGGCCGGGATTGACTAATTGAGAAAGTTCAAACATAGTTGACCTCTAATAAAAATCACTGATGAACGTGGCTTTCTATGCTATTACTTTGATAAAAAATTATAGTGGATAAATTTTTTATCCATATTCATACTACATTGATTTTCACAGATAGATCAAGGGCATGTGACAGGATGATTTCTCTAGAGACTTAGCAAATTATGGGTCGGAGAAAAAAACATTTTCAGTGGTCTTAGCGGGATATAATGTTGTTGTTTTCAAGCATTAGATATGACGCTGTGATTGAAATAGTTCTAGAGAAATGACTCATGAAGACTATTAAATAAAGTATCAGATATGGTGATCATTGGAATGATATTTTTTTTATAAAAAAAAAAAAAGAATTGATGAATAATAATGTTAAATTGTTTACTTCTGTAAATTATTTTGAAATTTTCCAAGGGAGACAAGCCAGATGGTGTTGTGCATTAGGCTTTATTTAAAAAATAAATAATAAAATAACAAACTTTCTCCCTGGAGATATGATATTCTAGTCAAAAGTCTTGAAAATTAAAATGTTGACTGTTGACAGCAAAATCATTATATGTTGATGAATATTCATGAGATATATGGTTTATTTACAGTTCATATGCCAGTAAATCCTCATTCACAAACTTATCCAAAGGAGAAGCTATGAATTTACACCAAATTGAATTGATTTTTTTTTTAAATTGCAGAATTGAAATAATTGTATCATGATAAAATTCAATTTTTTATATTTTTAATATTCGCAGTTAAAAATCAGTCGGTTTAAATACAGGTTGATAAAAATAAGAATATGTTCTGTTTTTTATTTTGCTCCACAGTAAACTAAACTGAATTTTCTTTATAAAAAAAAATAATTCTACAAACTGGGAAGTATAAGCTGACAATGTATATGACAAGTTTTGTATTTAGCTTAATGGTTCTTTTTCCTCAGAATGTTTTTGTATTCATGATCAATTTCAAATAACCTGGCCTCTATTAAGAGATCTTGACAGGGAAAAAAATCAGAATGTACATTTCTGCATCATTGGATAATTGGTCATTCAACTTCTTCTTTTCTTAAATAATTACATTTACAGATCATGAAAGCCCTATATAAAGGGAATATGTTTCATTGATTTTATATCAGCCCATGACGCTGAACTCTAAATCCACAAAGAACACAGAAATCCATGGCCTTTTTACAACCTCTTCTCTCTGTCTACAACATTAACCTCTTATCCAGATTACTTTTATGTCCAATATTCTCTATGAATTTAATTAATAAACATTTTCCATGTTTACTATTATGATAGATGGACAGTTATAGATGGTACCTTAAACTTTTGCTGTTTGAAAATTGTTTTAGAAATTCTTGAAATTTGGTTTGACTTCTAAAAATAAAAATAAGTTTGTAATGGTTCTAATGAAAAAAAATCATCATTGATCTGTTTCTTGCATATTGTGCATTCATTGGACCAGTATAGGTACATTCCATATAACATTTACAACACTATATTTCCATACCATACACCAAGGAGTTGGAATAAAATCACAATTAAATTAAATAGCGATTCTGACTACAATGAAGACTTTTTTGGTTAACAATGAGAGATCAGACCACATGCACATGTCCTTATTTGTCATCTCCCACTTCTAATGAACATTCATGGAAGAAAGCATATTCACTCAGCTCCAGGGTCTGGTCCACACTCTGATAAAAGGAAAATTTGAGGATAATGAGTACTAAGAACTAACTAGGGACTGATTAGGATCTGAATGGGAAACAATTTGGGGGTAAACATCAATGAGACAGCAACCCAAACAAGCTTTAAAGGATCATGATATGGTTTTTCAACAATGTACAGTTATCAGTTCAATATGTCAACATCTACATATGGGAATTCAAAGCAATTTTCTCCTTTCAAAAAATTTCTGTTGACATTTCAAACTGTCAGCTCTATCTTCATGATCTATGGACATAATAACTTTATATCTACAAAGGAAAGATTATATGTCAAGTCAGCGAATTCGTTAACTTTCCTTCAAGTAATACTGACAGTGCCAGACTTATATTTAAATGTGACAATTAGTACTTGGGATCCAGTCCAACATGAAAGATGTTTCCATCTTGGCAGGGTCTTGCTGTAACTGTTAGAATTGGCAAGCTTTTGTAAAGACAAATTATGTCTGCTGTATGTCTCTTAGTACATGAATTCAATTCAGTTATTAATTGATTCATTAATCTTTTCATGTTGAAAACTTTATTTCTTATGAGCTGCAAGCCCTGATTAAATATATCGGGGCTTATATAACATTAAGTTTGCATATGTTCTGAATGCCATAACTATTTCAATATATATCATCTACAGGTGCTAATGTTGAAATGTTGAGGAAAATATCCAAAAAAGTTGCATGTTATCAATATGTCAAATGTGAATAGAATGATTTTAGTGTTAAGTTTCTTCAACCTAATCAGCTTGTATACAAACATGTAAGGACTTAATAAATACAAAGCATGATGAATAAGTAAAAAATAATGCTACTTTACCTTTTTATGTTTGTTTGTTAGCAAGAGTAATGTCATTTACCCTGGATATGTAAATATTTTATGAATTGTGAAACGTTTGCAAATAGAACTGATGTCACCATTCAATTTTACCTTTTTCTAATGTTTGTAAATACATGAATTTCCAATAACAACTACATGTATATGTATATTCAGGATGCCTATTTCCCTAATTTAGAAAACAGCCATGGGGGTACATTGTTAGCATGCTTGCCTGTAGAAAATGAGGTCATAGGTTCTATCCTCATACAGGTCAAACAAAAGACTTCAAAAGTCTTAACTTACTGCTCTGACTCCAAACATACTTAAAAGAACAAATACTGACAGTTTTTGAGACCTGATTCATCCATCCATGCTTTGTTAATCAAAGAGAGACAACTCTTACAAAATCAAGAAGTCTAGAAATGGGGAAAATTTAAATCTTATTTTATGGGACATCAAATGAACCTTCATAGTTTATTTGACATAAATTGGAGACAGCCGTTAACAGGATAAAGTTCCAAGATTTAAACCTCAGAAGTAATTTCCAAGAAAAATTTGCAAACGACATATTTAAGAATTTTTAAAAGAATTTCTAATTTAATTGGACATCCTGGTTTGATTCTATTTTTCTTAGTGTCTTTGTTTATTAGTAAAAAATTGTGTTTTTGGTTTTCTATTACATCCGATCTCATTAATAACATGAAGATACACAGATATCCCAGTTAGATATAACCTTTGTCACCATCTGGTAAGTCAGTAATTCCTGCACAGAAAACATTTGACTTACAATTAACCTTGTCCTTTATACTATTACTATACAACATCTAAACTGGACCTAGTCCATTAGAACATCCTGACATGTACAGAACAGATCTATATTTATAACATTACTATACAACATCTAAACTGGACCTAGTCCAATAGAACATCCTGGCATGTACAGAACAGATCTATATTTATAACATTACTATACAACATCTAAACTGGACCTAGTCCAATAGAACATCCTGGCATGTACAGAACAGATCTATATTTATACTATTACTATACAACATCTAAACTGGACCTAGTCCAACAGAACATCCTGACATGTACAGAACAGATCTATATTTATACTATTACTATACAACATC